TAGCAGTAAACCGGTTACCGAATCATTTGATTTAGACCGGAACCGAATCATTTGTTTTAGACCGGAACCCAATCATTTGATTTAGACCGGAACCCAATCATTTGATTTAGACCGGAACCCAATCATTTGATTTAGACCGGAACCCAATCGATTTTTTTTTTTACAATTTTCTCTAAATATTTCCACAGACCCCTCCAGCATTTTAGTTTGCGTTCAGTATCCAATTAAAAAACTATCGGTTGATTAATCGTATCGGCCAGTTGTGGTCCAACCTAGCTATCGTTATCGGTAAAATCCAATATCGGTCGACCTCTATTTATTTATTTATTTATTCACTTATTTATTTATTACTTTACTTATTTTAATTAAAAAAAAATATTTAAATCTAATTTTATTTTATTTTATTTTATTTTTTACATTTTTCTTTAAACATTTCCACAGACCCCTCCAGCACTCGATGAAAACCCCTGCCGTACTCATCCAGACATGTTCTCTGACGGGAAGCAGATCACTGATGTAAGATCATCATACAGTGTGTGTGTCTGAGAGTGTGTGTGTGTGTGTGTGTGTGTGTGCACTGTAGTGGGGGAGGGGAAGTACAGTATCACAGACGACACAAACACGAGTCTGTCAGATTTTCTGTCTTCAGGACACTTTTCTCGTCCAGATCTCGCAGATGAACACACACACCAGACAGACAGACAGACAGACAGACAGACGGATGTGTTTGTCTGACTGCAGACGCCCTTCCTCCCCCGCCGGAGGTCACATGACCCTGTGGGGAAGCAGCCTGAACCTGTTCTTTGTTAGGAGGTCAGTGCGCTCCTGCCGAACGCCTGCTAAAGGACGCGCACCCACTAAACAATCAACAGTTCAGCCTACCGTTTACATCCTCAGATGCTTGGAAGCTTATTTCTGCCATGGAATAAAACAATAAAAAAGGTTACTGTGACTTTTTATCTCAAAATTCTGAGTTTATATCTAACAGCTCAGAGATGTATACTCAGAATTCTGAAAAAAGTCAAAATTGCGAGATTTCAGATTGCGAAAACTCTGAATTCTAAAACAGAATTGCAAGATGCAAACTTAGAATGAAAAGGAAAAATTCTGAATTGCGAGATAAACTCTGAATTACGAAGTTATGACGTATAGAAAAATGTGGGATCCATTTCTTAATTGAGAGTGCATCATAAAATGAGAGATAGTTATTTGTTACATTTTGTATTAAAAAAAGTTTTTTTTGTAGTTGTTTTAAATTTTATAGTCGCTTTTGTTTATTGTTATTATATATTTGTTTCATTATTTTGGGGGGAGAGGGATGAGCAGCGAGAATGGATAAAACAATACTGTAAAACCTTGTTGATTTTGACCGATGATATTAATGTTAAAAAAAAACAAGAAATAATTGTGAGACGTAAACTCCGAATTCCAAGAAAAAACTCCGTAAACTCCGAATTCTCCAAAATAAAATAAAATAAAATGTAGTGAGATGTAGTGGAATGACAAGAAAAAAAAGTGAGATGTAAAGTTGCAATTATGAGTTTATAACCTGCAATTGTGAAATATAAACGTGCAACTCTGAGACAGAAAGTCAGAATTGTGAGATAAAAAGTCACAGTTACCTGGCTTCTTTATATTTTTATTCCGTGGCAGAAACAAGCATCCGTCTCGCTCCAAAAAGGACAAATGCAGCACAACACTAGTCTGCTTCAGTCGTGCGGTGCTCTTCACCTCTGCTGGAGCTCTGAAAACTCAAGTGCATTTATGTTTCAATTCAGAAAATAGAGCAGAGATGCTTCTTGCAGGTCTGATGTGGATGGCATCAAATGCCACTGTTTTCTTTTTTGTACGTCTCTCAATCGAATGTGATGCAAGTTTGAATATGCCGAATGAAGATTATTAGTGAGTAATGATGTAAATTTCACATAAAGCATCATGGGACTTCAGAATACGAGTAGTAGCATATTAAGGCATTTTTTTCTCTTTTTGCATTTTGACACAAACTCAGAAGCAGTGCTCCGTGATGCAAGATATTGCGATCTTTGCAGTGAATACACACAACAGCACAAACAACTATGAAATACATATTTAACAGCGCTTGAGAACGGACACGAATACTAGATACAGGTCTATCCAGCACAACTGGCTTTGCTTTTGTACATTAAACAACAAGCAGCAACACATTAATATATTTTTAGATTTTTTTAATGTTGTTTAAAAAAAGAAAGCCTCTTCTGCTCAGCAAGGATGCATTTATTTGATTAAAAATACTGTAATAATTGTGAAATATTATTATAATGTAAAACAGCTGTTTTCTGTGTGAATATCTGTTAAACTGTAATATATTTCCGTGATGCGCAGCTGTATTTTCAGCATCATTCCTCCAGTCTTCAGTGTCACATGATCTTCAGAAATCAGTATAATATGCTGATTTATAAGAAACATTTCTGATTATTATCAGTGTTGAAAACAGTCGTGCTGCACAATATGTTTGCAGAAACTGATGCATTTTATTTTCCAGGATTCACAGACGAACAGAAAGTCCAAAAGAACAGCGTTTATCAGAAATATAAATCTGTGTAACATTATAAATGTCACTTTTTGATCAGTTTAATGCATCCCCGATGAATAAAAGTGTTCATTTGGAATGGCATTGAAGTTTTTTTTTTTTAAGCAATAATAAAATAATTATAAATAGAAGTGAACATTTGAAGTTTAAGGTTAATGTAAACAGAACATTCAGAATCTGAAATAAGATTCATTCTGAAACATATTTCAATATTTTTCTACTGATTTTACCAATGCACTGGTACAGGCATTAATTATTTATTGTGTCTATTATGCACACACTTCAATGCATTTTTATACATATTCTAATCTATTTATTTATGAACTTATTCCAATCTAAATAAAGGTTTCTGTAAGTATCTGCGTGGATACTCGAGTCTTTACGGCTCTCAGAGGAACGTGTCACACTCACGTACGCCTGATGTTAACTCCTTATTTACGTTCCAAATGTGAATAACGCTGTGTGACCTTCCATGCGCAAAAAACAGCAGTGGGGGAGGGGAGGCCAGTCTGCGGTAGCATTGCGTCATAACAACCAGAGAAGCGTTATCTACTGATGATAATCATATTCAGCGTTAGAAAATTAATGTCAGACATTATGTTCACTCAGGATTGATTCGGTTCAAAACTGACATTTTCTTTATGTTGTTTCACGTCATTTTGCTCCTGGAATGTTCTAGCGACAGTGCAGTAGTTTATTAAGAAGGTCTTGCATTATAAAATAATAAACCCTAAAAATAATCATCACACCATGTCCCAAAAAGATAAAGCAACAAGCGATAAATCACATATATCTGGGAGGCATTTATTGGTCACATGGTTACGATGTCGCACTTATAAGCTCCGCCCACGATGAAATCACATGAGTCAAAAATTTAGCTAAATTATATAACCGTGTATTAAATATCAAATATGATCCGATTGGTTGTGCATGCGTCACAATGCACTGAGCCAGAATAGAATATAGCGTTGCGTATACGTTGTGTATACGTTGCAATTAGGTTGTCACGCAAAAAACTTTGGTTACGTTAGTTTACGGTTATAAAATATTTAATGCAAAAAGTACACTCCTAGAATTACAGTAACTGGCTCGTAAACAAACGAGCGAATCAGTAATTAACAGTGCAAAAAAACACTTTTTAAGGTTACTAGCATAGAACCCATTAGGGATTGCGTTCCAAAAACCCGAGCACGCTTCTGTTACTGTACACACGCATGCTAGAAAGTGTTTAGAAGTCAGTGGCACAAAATGGCGATGACTGTGTTATTTCACAGTGGATGTGTTCCGATTTCGTGCTGTTGAATAAGCAGGTTTAAGGTCAGCTGCTCATTTTTGCATTGCGGGTCACAAAGTGCAAAACTCTCCCCTCCCCCCCCATTCGCCACGGCTGTGTTGCAATACCTAGTGAGCGCCCTTCGTAGACAGCACGGAGGCGTCTCTATTCAAAGAGATGAAATAGTCAGGAAAAACGTCGTTTTGATTTAGTTCAAAATTGCTAAATCACTTTATAGTTATAGAACTGTATATTTTATTAATTTTCAATTTGTGCATTGATTATACATGAATAAATAGTAGTTTACTAAATAATCAGATGCACAATTTTCACCTGCACAGGCGAAAAAAAATTTATATATAAAAATTTTTAATCTATATTTGATATAGATTAAAAAATTGTATATATATATATATATTTAAAAGTTTTACTATTTAACATTTAAAATTCTAATTTTTTGCATTTAATTCAATTTTGTATAAAAAAGCCTTACTACTTAATTTAAAATATACTTTTACATTTTAACGGTGCATAAAATGCTTTACTTTGTACAAAAATAAATATATATATTTGCCATTTTTAATTCAATTAAATAAAAATGTCTCACAAAAGCCACACTATTTAACGTTTACGGTTCACTTTTCCGTGTTAACTGAATTAAGTGCATAAAATACAAATAAACTGTATAAAATAAATATATTTTATTACACTTTCCATAAAATGTCTTACAAAAAGTCTTACTATTTAATATTTAAAAAAATAATTATTTAGAATTTGAATTCAGTGTTGTACACAAAAGCCACACTATTTAACGTTTACGGTACACGTTTCCATTTTAACCGAATTGTGCATAAAATACAAATAAACCGTATAAAATAAATATGCAATCTTGCCATTTTTATTCAATTTTCCATAAAATGTCTTACAAAAGTCTTACCGGTGACACATTTAAAATAAACGAAAAAAAAATAATAATAATAAAATAAATTTAAAAAAAGTATTGCTACATAAAATGTTAAATACAACATAAATGCGTTATTGTCTAAAATACTAAATTTATAATTTTTCCATTTTAATTCAATTTTCGCTAAAGCGTCTTACTACTATTTAATGTGTGCGCGGTAGGCAGACTGCGCAAGAGTACTCGCTAGTGTAGTCGCCTAGCTAGGGCGCTCTGTAGGTATTGGACGCCGCCCGCACCGCGCTGCTATAGTAAGTGCGTGCGCTGCTGCTACAGTCTTCCGACGCTCCGTTTCAGCGAGAAACGCAGGGAACTTGCCTAAAAACACACAGGAGCCACACTTAGCCGTTAGCTTTGGCAGGCGAGAGCTCGCTTGTTGTTCCTCGTCGATCTTTTAACGGCCGCCGAGCGCTGAGGGGAACTCCGACCGAAGATGGGCGCGAAGTCGCGGCTCGCACACTGAAGCTGGAGGGTGTTATTCCCGGTGGAAGCGAACGAGAAGCGGCAGCTTGAGTCCTGACGGTAAGAAGACGCGATATTTCCCTCGCTTGAGCGTCTCCGGTGTGGATTAGCCTCCTGGAGTGTTTGGACATCTCCATGTGGAGAAACTCGCGGTTAAATGAACTTTTTATCGCCGCTAACGTCTCATTTCCGCGGTGTCTTGTGACTGCCGAGGCCCTCGGGGAGTAGTGTGCACTCGATAGAGCTCTTTTCTAGTTGTTTTTGTGGTAAAACACGCTTGAAGTAGCCGTTAGCTCCGGCGGCGCGTGCTGAGGAGAGTGGGGGAGGGGCCGATCCGCCCTCACTAGTGAACACTAGATAGTGCACTTCTCTGGTACGCTTTACTAAGACGCACACGTTCACTAAAACAGAGTCGTGTTCTCAAACTTGTTGATCTCAGTGACTGTGACAGCATCACGCAAAATTGAACGAACCGAGTAATTAATTATTGTGTATTTAATGTGTAAAATATCCTTTCATCAAAGTTCATCCAAACCTGAACAAAACGTCTCTGGTTCACTTTTTGGATCCACTTCAAGTGTTGAGTGCTGTATGCATGGGAATTAAAATGTGTTTAGTTGGTGGAAAATGTGCTCGGAGCTTAATTAGAAAAATTGTCTTGAAACTAATGACAATTTAAATAGAAAACAGGGTTCACACAATTATAGAAAACCTGTAGATATGAGCATTTAGAGTTGTGTGTGTGTGTGTAAAAATGGCTTGGTTTTTATTTTTAAGCAAATTTAAAAAAAAAAAATTCAAATTTTTATTATTTATTTGTTTGTTTATTTTTCAGATATATGTATTTGAATTGCCCACAGACCTTAAAGTGGTAGCTTACTCAAAACAGTGAATCCAAACCTGAACAAAACGTCTCTGGTTCACTTTTTGGATCCACTTCAAGTGTTGAGTGCTGTATGCATGGGAATTAAAATGTGTTTAGTTGGTGGAAAATGTGCTCGGAGCTTAATTAGAAAAATTGTCTTGAAACTAATGACAATTTAAATAGAAAACAGGGTTCACACAATTATAGAAAACCTGTAGATATGAGCATTTAGAGTTGTGTGTGTGTGTGTGTGTAAAAATGGCTTGGTTTTTATTTTTAAGCAAATTTTAAAAAAAAATTTCAAATTTTTATTATTTATTTGTTTGTTTATTTTTCAGATATATGTATTTGAATTGCCCACAGACCTTAAAGTGGTAGCTTACTCAAAACAGTGAACTTTTATCGTAGGGCTAAAAAAAAATCTATCTACGATATAATGTTTCATATCGTTCGGTATCGCTAATTATTGACATTTTTATAACCTTTTTTTTAAAACGGAGCAATAGAAAAAAAAAAGTTTAAATTTAACCACTGTATTTATAGTTAACACAATTTATTGAGACAAACAACAAATATTTTTAGTTTTAACAATCAAACACAATACAAATTAAACGAGTATCTAATTTCTAATGTTTCGTATGCAGATTAAATGGGTCTTTATTGCACGAGGCCACAGGAGGGCGCAATGACGAAATAACGCAGCGCCTTAAGCAAGTAACTATAAAAACGTGCATTACGTCTAAATTAACGTCAAATATAATTTCGTAAATTGCATAAACAATTACGAACAAAACGGCATCGTGTATTAATGCATTGCTTAATCCAAAGTGCCGAAGCGCCGATCACACAAAACATACGTGACGCAGTGAAACGGAATAAACCTCCACAAATTCGTGACGTGTTTTCTAAACGTTTTTAACTGTGCATGGCTTTCTATAGCCTACATCTCTTGTGCGAGACGCGAGTGCAGTCCGTCTAAAAAAATGCGCTGAATATGCGCTCTGTGCGAATGGCTTGGTTTGGGTTTTAACCCATTCAAGATGTTCTCCGCATCGAGTTTCTATATTTCTCTTAATATTTTGAATTGATAACGCAGCGGCGGCGCGTCTCGTGGACTAGACTAACAAAACGTTCAAATGCAACAACGTCACTTACATCATCTCGCGCGCCACTGATGACGCTCCCTGACGCACTCGTAACGTTCAAATGCAAATATTTATTTTAAATTCGACTAATATTAGTATTACAAACTCATGTTTGTGTGTGCGGTCTCAGAGCACGGGCCTATATCGTGCGCTATATCAAACTTTTTTTCTATCGATATCGAAGACGGTGTACCGTCGATAAATATCGATACCGTTTTATCGCCCAGGCCTAGTTTGTCATCATTCAATTCCGCACCTACTTCTGTTTTCCAGATGAGAATTTTGATTATAATAATTCTTCTTTCACAGAGTTGACAATCAGTCCGTCTTGACTGGTTTTGACGAATGCTGATATCTGGATAGTTGAGTGGCTGATAAAATGCCAATATATATAGACCGTTTATTTGGACAATATTTACAACGTTTGATAGCAGGACATTTACGGCTGAAGCGGTTTCGCTCTACGGTACAGCTCCTTTCTAAATATTCATCGAGCTGGTGAGTTTTTAACACCGTTCGTGAGGAAACCAGACGTTAGATCAGACAGAGTTCTTGTCTTATTTTGCATAATAAAATTATTTTTATGTGTTTTTGTAGGATGTGCAGCATCTTCGTCACTGCAGGCCTGCAGAGAATCAGGCTTTTCTTTTGTATTCTCTGATTTTGGGATCAGATTTTTTTTTTCCACTGAGCTCATCGCAGTGCATTATGGGATTGCGTTGTCTACGATGCATAAAACGTGGACGCAATCGTGGAATCATGGTTATAAAAACGGAATTTGCTGCATAACGCAACATTTTGTTTCCCCAAAAAATAAAAGAAATTTTTACGTTTTTTAATAATTGCATATTAAAATATAAAATAAATTGTTAATGATGTATGCCTTCATTTAATTACCTCCGTTTTTTAAATAAATAAATTAGCATTTTTTTAAGTCATAAATTTAGAAAAATTTAAACAGGCAACATATAGAATTTCTGAAAAAAAAAAAATTAATAGTGCCGTTTATTGCAAAGTTGAAATTTAAAAAAAAAAAGTTTTATGAGTTGAATTTATTAGACATGCTTTTTGATTATTCATATTAAACTAAACCATTAAAACGAAATCAAGAAAAAAATAAAATGTAATTTGGGGGGAAAAAAAAGAATTTCGAAAAAATTAAAGCAAATTTCATACGGCCCTAAACATTTAGTCTTTTAATAAAGTGTTTCTAAATTGTATGATTCCAATTAATTAGACGTGTTTTTTATTACTATAATTTAATATAACCCTTTAAAAAAAATGGTAATTAAAATCGAAAAAATAAAACGGAACCTGGAGAATTTGTGTGGGGTAAAAAAACTGAATTTGGGAAAATAAATATAAAACATAAAATATGCTGAGAGAGTAAGACTCACAATATTGTTCTAAGTATATAGCTAACATAGACCAAATATTCTTCCGAGCGAGAATCATTGATGCAATGATTCGGTCTGATTCTAATGTCTAATCTCCATTCATCCACTCCCACGCTACAGCTCGTCTCGCTGGTATAAATAGCTTTAGGTTTGTAAATCATCACAGGTTGACGGAGTTAATGGGTAACAGGATTGAAGAGAGAGAGTTGTGGTCCTGGGATTTTCTCCAGGATTCGAGCAAATCCAAATCCGTCTGAAAGAGCGCTGCCAAGATGGCCTCGTTCTGAGACGGAGAAAGAGACTGTCGTGTCTACAGTCTACACGGTGTGAAGACGAAATGATTGTCGTGTTTTGTGGCTTGTCTTTAAGGCTGTGTGGTGTACTGATGTGGTCATTGTGCTGGTGATATACACCAGCAGGGCTCGACGCTTACTGTTTCCTTTTTAGGAGCGCTTGTGCTCCTAACTTAAAAAAATTAGGAGCACGTTCAAAATTTTAGGAGCACCTTCTAATCAATAATTCAAAATGTTATCAAAAAGTAGCCTTCCCATTACGAGGTAATATTTGACTCCTCTAACGTTATTAAAAGTATGTCGTCTTTTGTCAAATTCTTTTAAAAAATTATATTTGATAAACTTTTTAACATTTTTAATTAAAACGACAGAATAAGAGTAGAATGAGAAACATAAGTTAAAAATCAAATGAAATCAGTATTAACGAAATTAATTTGTCGAGGTGGCACAGAAGAACACAAAAGTGGCTTGATGTGCTTTCAGACATTTAATGAGGTTCAGAAGTGGAGTGAGTGCAATTAAATCCATGATGATATTAATGTTTTAAATATAACATTTTGAATATAGAAATATTAAATGATTTAAATAACTGAAAAGATACTTTAAAAATGAAACAAAATGCCAGCGGGTGGCAGCAAGTCACTGATTTTTATCACTGAATCATTCATTCAATTGATTCATTCGAACGGCTGATTCATTCAGGAATGATGAATGCATAATCATGAATCACTGACTCATAGATTCGTTTAAAAACCCCGTTCATTCATAAACGAGACACCGCTGTGTTTGAATAGAGATGCGCAGCGGCTGAGTTGTGTCTTTGTTTTAAACTATTTTCAACGACGAAATAGAGCAAACTCAGACAATAGTGTTATAGTCAGACAATGTAAGTAACTTAAAATTAACTTCTTGTTTATTGAATTGTATTGTATTAAATCCGATATCACATTTACAAACTCCCTTAAAAATCATTCAAAGCGGTCACTCATCTTAGTTCATCACGAGCTCACATTTATACTCAACGAAGCTCTCTATACTGTGTGATGAATCTCTTATT